CTCTCTCTCTCTCTCTCTCTCTCTCTCTCTCTCTCTCTCTCTCTCTCTACAGGTACCAATTGATTTTTATTGTTATTGCTCAGAAATTAAACTTAACTGTTGTGAGTTATTTATGGATTTATAGATGTATACTACATATAGACATAGTGTATAATTTAACTCTTGTGAGTTATTTATGGATTTACAGATGTATACTACATATAGACATAATGTATTTTGTATTTTTACAATATTTTCAATATGTGTTTCTTATTGATGTAGTTATATGGGTGCTCCCAAACTAGGGAACTTTTAGCAATGGATGATCTGCAGATCTGGCTTTGGCTACTGGTCCTGGCCCCGCTTCCAATAACTAAGTTTCTAGTGAAGTTAAACTCTCATCAGAGGAGAAAGGCATCTTCAGAAGAAACTGGTGGCAAAAATATTAAGAGATATGTCCTTGTATGAACTAAATTATTATAAATAATAACAAAAGAAATTCATATACACAATGACATCGCATTAGTTTCTCTCAAAAGAGAAGTCAGCTAGAACTCAAAGTATTTATTAACTTTAAAAAATAATGTCTTCTTGATTAAAATACAAAAAAAGGAGTTCCATATCATACCTGTGCACGCTGCATGATCTGAACAGAGACATATTGTGACACAATGAGAAGCACTGGTAAAACAAGATAAGCAAAAGTGTCTGACCACCCAAGAGGTGGATGACCATCCTGCAGGAAAATCAAAGAGTGTATTCATTAGACCAAGTTCCATTCTTTCATAAACAAAAACTATTTTGCCGAATATGCAATAGGTCGGCATCTAAACTTTGAACATCACTGTAATATGATCTTCAAACCGCATAGCACTTGCTGTAATTACAGTTTGAAAGATTGAAAAGTTATTATTACAAAGCTCCCTCTAACATAATCGCATATCACATTATAAATATGATTTCTCACTCAACCTATTTCCTGAAATCTAAGTATGCATAAATGAGGAGTTACAGCACAGCATCTTCTTTTATTCTATTAAATAGTTTGGTTATAAAACTTAACCACAGAGGAGGATCCATCTTTCTCCCTTATCACAATTAAACAAACAATATTCAGTCAAGCCACCCCTCAAAGGTAATGCATGTCAAGGAGCTACTCAAATCTACACCAGACAAGTCGGGATCACTTCTTTAAATCTCTGATTTCTTTTGTCCTTTCACTACCAAATAATAGCACATCAGAATAATGTCATTAAACGTAAGGAGACTCCCTAATGGTTTAACAGAGTAACAGTCAAACTTGCTCTCAATAACGAAATATCTTAAGCAAATTGATCCGAACCTGTTATTCTTTTTTTTGATAATTGTTAACTGGGAATTAAGAAGGGTCGAAAAACAGTACATAGTACATAAGGTGCAAGTTGGGCTCTAAGCAGAACCCAACCTGTAACGTGGTCCCTGAGGGGAGGACCTAGAGCTGTCCAGTCACAAGTTGGACTTTACATTAAGTAGTTAACATGGTGGGGCTTATAGAACTGCCCAAGTACAAAAGCGGATAAAAGGAAGAAGGGCCCATAATTGCCCTTGTACATAGTACGTCTAAACTACGCATTCAGTGGAGAAGAATGGCGAGCTGCTCCTTTAGCGAGAGTGTCTGTAGTTGCATTTGCGGTCCTTCGGGTATGCTGCCATGTGACTAACAGGTCCCTGCATAAATGGCTAATCTCATAAAAAATGTGACCCAAGTACCAAGGTGGGTCGCTTTTCCCAGATCCCCAAGTTATGATGTTCTTGGCGTCTCCCTCTACGAGCAGGATTCTATCCCATGTAAGGTTATAACGTTCGATTCCAGTTAGAAGGGCCAAAGCTTCTGCTGTTTGTGAGTCTTTTGTTCCTATGAACTCTGAGAAGGAAGGAGGATGGTACTTTTAAAGTTTCTAAACACTCCGCCAATGCCTGCCGGTCCAGGGTTACCTAAAGAGTACCCATCAAAGTTGAGTTTAAAATTTGCCCTTCTAGGGGAGAGGTCCATCTGGGACTGATTTCACTTTTATGATGGGTGAGGGCTAGCAGATTACTCCATTCTTGTATAAAGGAAGATGCTGAGATGCCCACAATCATTTTATGGTGGGTTGCCCAAACAATAACAGAGTCTGTTATTTTATGGAAGAGAGTGAGGGTGGAGTTCTTTTCCCCTCGAAAAGTTCTAGAGTTTCTTTCCTTCCATAGGTGCCATAGGGTAGCCGCTAAGGATGCTTTCCACAGAATTTGTCCTGATTTTGTCCCATTGTTCTCAAAAGAATGGGCTATCAACGGCTGAATAGAAGGTGGGATCACCCACGCCAAGTTGAACAACTGGATAAGTTTGCTCCATACAGAAAAAGCAAACTTGCAGTGTAATAACAGGTGTGTAACGCGGGATCCAAACCTGTTATTCACATAATGGAACTAGGATATTCAAAATTTTAAATAACAAGAAGTTTTGGATCATAAGTATATTGATGAAACAAAAAAAGGGATAAAATACAAAAAGGAATTCAAGAAAGATGAGATATTATACCTCTATTTGGGTCTAGAAGGGAATCCACCACAAAACCTCTTTGCAAGTCCCAAAAATCAATTTCTCTCTCTCTGTCTTTCTTAAAAACATGACATTTATAAAAAAGATGACCCAATAACCTTAGTTTCAATATTTTAAAAAAATAAAATAAAATAAAATATGAAACCCTAACTGCAATTTTCTCCTAGATTGGGAGAAGCTCATCCTCAAGCTTAATGTATTTGAAAATTTTCCTTCATTGCCTTCTCCGCCTGATTCTAATTTTTTTTTTATAAAAGTTGACATTGTGTTGATGGTAGACAAGATTACAATGCTACAAAAACCCAAGCAGGTAGACAAAAGTCACCAAGGAAGGTGACGGCTAAAAGAAACAACAAAGAAAGAAGATAAATCAGAAAACCGAGAGGGAAAACCACAAGAATCCCAATCGGTAATACATAGGTCCTGTAGAGTCAATCATGCGCTATTGTAAGACAGGCATCGTCACTCCATCGTTGCTCCAAGTTTAGCTAGCTTGTCCGCTGTTCGATTTGCCTCCCTCCAGATATGTCTCCAAGAGACCTGTGTACGCCTGCATATAGTGTAAATCTGATCAAAGATGTGCCATAATCTCCAAGGGGGGCAAGCCAAATGGGATGCCTAAAGAATAACATTCTTGCAATCCCCTTCTATAATGAGGGAGGGACCCCAGGCTGGGTCAAAACATCTCAGGCCTTCCAGGAGAACACATGCCTCTGCCTCCATGGGGTCTGAAATCCCAACGGAAGATGAGAAGGCGAGGAGGGTCATGCCTGCGTGGTCGCGAAAGATCCCTCATATTCCAGCCAGTCCTGGGTTACCCAAGTAGGAGCCGTCGAAGTTGAACTTGACAAATCCCCTCTCGGGTGGTCGCCAGAGAGAGGAACGAGAGATCCTCGGGAGTTTCAAAGACAGAATGGGTGCCCAGTTTTGTCGGAAGTTATGGCTTGCCAGTCCCTTGAAGAGAGCGATTTTGGAGGCCCAGAAGGCTACGAGAGCCTTTATCAATTCCAGGGTTTTGTGTGCCGGTGCATAGCTCCCTTGAAATATCCTAGTGTTGCATTGCTTCCAGATTGACCAGATGGTGGCCGCGACTGTAATCTTCCAGAGAAAACGGCCTGCTTTTGGCCATGGTAAGAAGGCCAAGAGCTTGAATAAGTCGAGGATGGAATGTGGGGTAACCCAAACCCACTGGAACAGAGACAAGATTTCCCCCCAAAGGTATAAGGCCATCAGACAGTGTAATAAAAGGTGGTCAGCAGATTCTTCCTCTTCGAGACACATGGCACCTATGTTGGGGAGCAGGAATCCAAGTCTCTTAAGTTGATATACTGTGAGAATTCTTCCCCACAGCACTAACCAAGCAAAGAAATGGATCCTAGGAGGAACTGGGGAATTCCAAGCTAAGGACCAAGAGGGAATGGAGGGAGCAGAAGGTGGAGGGGTGCGGGTTAAGGCGAGGAAAAGGGAGGAAATAGAAGAGACCCCCGAAGGGTTTGGGGTCCAGATGATACGGTCCGTCCCGGGAGTAGAACAGGGGAAGGCCGAAAGCAAAGAAGAAATGAATAAAAGGCAATCCAGTTCCTCTTCTCTCAGAGGTCGACCGAAGTCCAGATTCCAAGAACGGGACTTTCCAGAGAACGGAAAGAGCTCCACAACCGAAGCCAAGGGATTCCTAATAAGGTGGAAGAGAGAATGATAGCGAGAGGCAAGAGAAGATTTCCCTTCCCAAACGTCAGACTAGAAAAGCACCCTATCTCCGCTCTTAGGATAAAACCTAATGACAGATTTGAAAAGAGGCAAAGAGTGAAGGATTGAGCGCATAAAACCAGAGGTAGCCTGGGGGATTCTAGACGGAATGCACCAGGGTGGATCAGTCAGACGGTATTTGAAGCAAATGATTTGGTGCCAGAGTCCCCCAGGTTGGGTCACAAGCCTCCACCACCATTTGCAGAGAAGAGCCAGATTTTGAAATTTGAGAGTATGGATTCCCAGACCTCCAACTGGTTTGGGGGAGCAGGCAGTGCTCCAAGATAAAAGGTAGAATTTCTTGGTGGGGCTGTCTCCCGACCAAAGGAAATTCCACATTAATTGCTCCAGATGGGAGCGCACCAAGGCCGGTAAGTGAAAGAGAGACATCTAGAAAATAGGCAATCCTGTGAGGAAGGCTGTGACCAGGGTCAGTCTGCCTGCAGGTGATAGGTATCTGCCTTTCCATCCTGCTAACTTCTTGTCAACACTATCCAACACATGGCTCCATTGAGATTTCTTGGTTTACCAAGGCATAAGGCAGACCAAAGTATTTTGAGGGTAGGGAAACTATGTTGCATCCCCAGCTGTCCACAAAGGCTTGTAAGACAAGTGGGTCCACCAAAATACCTATCATTTTGGATTTTTGTAGGTTGACCTTGAATCCGGTGGCATAATGAAAGCATTGCAGAAAGAGGAGCAGCATTCAACTTGGTCGGGAAAGGCCTCGTAAAAGAGGAGGGTGTCGTCCTCGTATTGAAGGTGCATAATTGGTGGGCTTTGGGGGGCAACGGGAAAACCCGATGCTAGGCCGGCCTGGTAGAATCTGTCGGTGGCCTTACTAAAGATTTCTGCTATAATGGCAAAGAGGAATGGAGACAAGGGGTCGCCTTGTCTTAGGCCTCTGTGCGAATTGAAGAAACCTTGGGGGGATCCATTGATGATGATAGAGAAATAAGGGCCGCAAATGCAACCCCTAATCCATTTGTGCCTGATTCTAATTTTTCTTCCTTTTCCTATCAAACTTCCAAATATCTAACTTGATCACACAAATTTGCACCATGTCAATTGAGCCATGCAATCCTAAAAGGTCACCTATGTGCTAAATATCGTGTGCTTTCTTCTACTATTACCTCATACATTAAAACCATTTCTACTTCTGGAGCTTGCTCTGTTTTTTTATCTTTGCTTGGAATAGAGGTTGATTTTTAATCTTCCTCCTCTTTATGGTCACACTCCACATATTGCCTTGATATACTAATTGTTGCATTGATTTGCCAAGGATTTATTCTTGACGTTCTTGTAAGCTCTCAAACATTTGATCCACGCGCTTCAAGAATGGATCTGTCTTGCAAACATGTGCTTTTGATTGCGTCATTCCGTGCGGATCTTTTTCTAACTAATGTAAAAATCTTTTCATACTTTGGTGCCACTCAACACAGGAAAAGGAGAGATTATATTTTCTTTTAAAAAAAGGAAAGACGAGATATTATACATCTCTTTAAGCCTACAAGGGAATCCATCTGCAAAACTCTTCATGAATCTCAAAAACCAAATTCTCCTTTCCATCTCTTTCTAACAAAAGTGTACATATTTATAAGGAAAAACCATAAACGTGTAATTTGCACCATAAACACAGACCTCAAATACTTATTCCTATTTTACCCCTCAATTCTCTACAATAATGAAAATGTAAAACACCTCTTTGGTAATAACAAAATTAAGAGACCCAGAAACCCTAGTTTCAATCTCCTAAAAAAATTTGAAAAGAGTATTTGGAGTAACATTTTATCCTGGTTTGATGGGACATGGGTTACACCGAGTTCTATTGCCCACTTATTCCAAGCCTACCTTAGAGCACCATGGGGCAGGGAGACTGTTGTGGAAAGCTTCGATTGCTGCCACGGCAAAAAAATCATAGAAATTTTAGGGGTGAGAGGGCTTCGATCTAGCAATTGGCTGAGAAAGTAAGGAACCTCATCGCGGTTTGGGCCACCAGCCATGACCTTTTCAAGACCTCTTCCTTCACAGACTTCCACAGTAACCAGTCGAACTTACTGTGTTTTGAACCCCCTAGAGTCTTGAGGGCCTCCCTGTGGAGACCTCCAGATAGCAGAGCCCTGAAGCTTAATTTCGACAACTGTTCTTTTGGCAACCAGGGACCCTCAGGCATACGGGGGCTCTTGCACGATGGAGCAGGATGCATCTTGATGAGCTTCTCTAGTGCTATCGGAGTAGCTGACTCGACGCTTGCCGAGGCCTCTGCCCTCTTGGAGGGTCTTTGCAAGTACGACTCTTCCTTAAATCCCATTCTCATAGTAGAAGAAGACGCTAAGAACATCATCACCTGGGCATCTAATCGCTCAGCCTGGCCGTGGCACCTTAACAACATTTTTGAAGAAATTATGTGCATCACCAGAGATCTTAGAGTCATTTGGCAACATGTGTATAGAGAAGCCAATTGTGATGCCGATAAGTTGGCCAAGGAGGGGGCTTCCAGTTAAAGTATTTTCCCCTCCCTGCCTCTGACTGCGACTCTTAATTTTTTGTATATCGTTTGGACCCTGAGTGAGCTTCTATTGCGTGACCCTTAGGGATCACTTCTTGCGTATTCTTCGTTTATGAAATACAGTGAACTTTACTCAACAAAAAAAAAAAATTGAAGAGAGAACTTAACTACATTATATTGTCATCATCTAAATACAACAAATAAAGGAATATATTAGCTGATGTAGAGAATAAAAAGTAGTTTGAAATTTACCACAAAAGGAAAAAGCCATGAGATCCCACTGCCATTTTGTCGAGCTGCAATTGTTGTTGGACCAGCCAGAGAAGGAATCCAGAAAAATCCTTCTGTCAGAAGGCCCTTAAATCCAGAAATTATATACACAATTAGAAATGAGCTTCTCCAAAAGGGGGAAGACAGCTTAAATGCACAAAAATCATAAACCACCAGTAATGAGGTGTTCAAATACAAGATATATTTTACCTCATTTGCCACATTTGAGAGAGCCCTATATAGGCCAATCCAGACAGGTATTGTAACAAGAGTTGGCAGGCAACCTGACATGAGGATGAGGGTTAATGAACATCACAATTCCCTTGTGGAGTTCACAGAACATGCACGCATATCAGGAAAAAAAAAAGTAAGATTTGAACTTAGAAGGTTATTTACTAGCAAATGAAGGCTGCAATTAGAGAAATGATTACAAATACTTTCAGTATCAGCTGGTAACAGAATAATGTGTCTTATCTCTAGAAATCAAGTCTGCATAAAATAGGTCCTTCTAGTTATGTAAACAGCTGTTATATATCATTTAACAAATAACAAGGAGAAAATCTATCAACGTAAAGAATCTATAAAATGTTCTTTTGACTAAAGAGGGATGGTGTTCCCTTGTCCCTTCTATACGGATGGGGCTCATTGTCCCACATTCCAAAAAATGGGGAGCTTGAACACATGACACTCCTGTCCAAGAATATGACATTGGGAAGGGGGCCAGCAAGGGCCCCATGTAGATTAGGGCCAACCAGCCTCACACCCCCAATCTTATGAACACAAGCACTAGCTACGAGCTAAGCCCCCATCCACATGAGACGGCTGGTTGGCTAAGTGCTTATCAAACATTCCCAAATGAATCAAATCTATCATGGGACCGATTTTGAAGACAACCCAAGAGGGTGAAGGCAGCAAGCCCCGATCGTCCTTTTCAATGGAAGGGATCTCAGTTCAGCCAATCCCTGTGAAGAGAGATATGAAGGCCTGTAAGCACCAATCCAAACTAAATGAGGAAGGAGCTGGCAAATCCAAAAGACTAAAAGATAAATAATGAGCTAAAGTAAATATTATTAAAAATAAAGATTTTTTTTTTTTTGCAAGTGTCTATGTTTTGAAGGATTTGAGTTTCTTTCAAAACTATCCACACTAATAAAAAAAAGCTCTTGAGAAGAAGAATGTAATTTATTTGGAGGAATTTACGAAAAAAACATTGAAAGGCGTACAGCTAAGAGGGAAATCTGAAATCTGACTGCAACTTGTCAAATATCAGTCCATCCAATGTGCCAATATCCAAAATCATATCCTCCATAAACAGGAAATTTTCTAAATAGAGAAGGCAATAGGTTACACTGTTTAAAAGCCAAGATTTTCCAGGGATGGCAGCCTCCTCCTAGGAGTCAAGACCCACATGGGGAGTTAGTGAAGATTGAGAATCAAAAAGTTTAACGTCAATCACTCTCTACCACAACAATACATCCAACTGTTCCATAAACCCAAGACAACTGGTATTTTGGAACATTTTCCAAAATAGCAGATCCATCAGAAAATGTCAAGCAGCATTTGCACCTAAAAAGTCAAAACAAGTTCAGAGACTAGATTCCACCAATAAACTCAAACTAAAATGACCCAAAAATGCCATACAACGATGCATAAAATGGTAATTACCTGCCAGTGGGTTTACACCGGCGAGTTTGTATAATCGTGCAGTTTCCAGTTGTATCCTCTCCTGCAATGGCATATAATGACACGTTTAACCACTGAAAAGGCAAAGGATTACCTTAGATGAAACCTATGACAGTCTAACCAATATTTAATTGAATAAGTGTTTTTCAATTTTTCAAGTGGTAATATGTTTTGTTCTAAATATATTTCTAGTACATTGTTTCCTCAAGCTTCATAAAGCCAACCCAACACCATAGTCAAAATCATCTTCAAGACCAACAAATGTAATCATATATGCTATGAAGCTTTGCACATACACTAGACAAATATTCAAAAACCAAACGTGGGCTGAATACCTTGCCTGGTTCAGAGCATGGTTAGCTAAAAGCTCCCTAAAACAATTTTAAACCTAAATGGTTTTAAAAATAATACAAAGGACAAAAGAATGTGGTCCCACACAGCAAAATTGTTCGTTCGGTCCAAGAATTAAACTGCTAACACTTTGGGATCAATCTTAAAAAATGTGGATTGTTTGGAGCTTAAAAAGTGCCCCAAATCAAAATCCACTTCAGAACTAAGTCTGGACTGTCCATTCTGGTGGATATCAGATTTCGGGAATTTTGAACTCACCTTTTTTTTTATATATTGATCTCAGGATCCATCAAAGATGTCTTCATAAAGTTGTAGGTGACAAATCCCCTCACTAGTTTGTCCATGGGATTTGGTGCCATAGGACCACAATATGTGATGCCTACTATAAAATACTGAAAAGATAGAGAACGTCATTGTTGGAAGATATTTTTCATCATCATGGAGCCCCCGCTCAATAAAAGCCTAGAAAACAGTAGAAATTCTGACAGTCTCAGAATAGCCCCAGAACTGGCCAAGATCTTCATGAGATCTCTCAAAAGTCTCCTGCCAAGTTTCGTCACATTTCGACATGTCTAAAGCAATGCAGACTAAGAAACAGTTCCAACAAAATTGACCTCTGGCACCCTGAAACGGACTTTATAACTAGAGCTACATTTTCGGTGTCTCAATTTGCTGTGGGGACCACCACCATTGGATCCGACACTGTTGAAAATATCCAGGGGTTAAATTTCAGCTTGAACGGACACTCCAAGAATAAGTTATAGGCAAAAAAGTGAAACAGGAGCAGCCGCACGCTATTCCCATGTCACCACCCTGCAACTCTACACCATTGAAGGGACAGTCACGAGCAGTAACTTTCAACACTCATATCTCACCCGTCTCAAGTTGGATCACGCTCAAATTTGGTGAGCATGTTCGTCGCATCAAGACGCGCAATTCGATATGTGGCACACCCCCTGACAATACCTGAGCGCGAAGAAAAGCTAGAGAGAAGTTGCTGATCAGTGAATAAAGTGCAGAAAATTCAGCAGCGTCGTGCCTCGCTCGAGTAGCCAAATCACGCCGCTCGCAAGCCCGAACAACGTGAGACCAATTCCATCGCGTGCGTAAGGTCTCGGGCCATCTCTGACCTGAACCCCGTACATGATGAACGGTTGGATTCCGCACACGAAGCCGATGAATCCACTGCAAATCCTGTCGTTGGAAATCCAGATTCCAGCCAAAATTCCAAAATTGCAAAATCTTCGTTCAGACACGGAATCGAGCTGCGTTTGTTGCCCCATGATCATGACGGCATGCTGAATGTACTACAACGAAGAAATCACAGAAAAACATCAAGGAACGAGTACACAATCGATCCGAAGTTTCAAGATTCATTCAAATTTCAAGTCACATGATCGTGCACTAAAAACACGATCCATGGCTCGAAGTTGATAACAAACCGATCGTCATGCCAAGCCCTACAAGAAAACAATCATATTTCGATCAACAGGGCATCAGAACAATCCCGGATCATCCATGCAAGATCATGCAAGTTCTAGGGCAACACAGGGACTGTTCTGAAATTCCACAAATTGTTAGGGAGGGGCAAATCTGTCATTTTGTAACCTATTTTCTAATTTCTTTTAATTCGATTTAATCTTAATTTCCAGCAATTAGGGTTACTTTTGATCATCCACCCATGTTTGCGGAAAATTCTATATCTACGTACCATCATTGTACGTACCAGATGACTCAATCCCTCACAAAATAGAGAGTTTTTACTTAATACAATTTCTCTTTCTTACCATTTGTTGGGTCACATTTGGAGAGAGAGAAAGGTGAGAGAAACTTTTGATCAGTACTCCTAAGCCTGAGGTAGATCTACTCTTTATTCCTTTTTTTTCTTCTCTTTCTTCTTCTTCTTTCTCTTCCTCTCCTTCTTCTTCCTCTTCTCCGTTTGAGTTCCTTGCAGAGGCCATGTGCGGCAGTGCCAGTGTCGTGTATGCCTCTCCCGTGGTCACACAGGTGGCGCATGGCAATGGCAGTGCCATGCACGAGTCTTCTTCCCCTTCTGTTCGTCTGTCTCTCTCTCCCAGTGAGGCCTACAGACGGCGCTGCTCATCGTCGTCTGCAGACGTAGCTTCAACGTCTCAGTGAAGAGCCTAGACGGAGAAATTCGTTGCCGCCCGCAGGAGTCTTCCCCTGTTGCGCGCCTATCGCAGACAACGATACCTTTCACCGCCCGCTAGAGGCCTTGGCAACACCTATCGCCATCTGCGAGTTTCCTTTGTAGACTCGGTGCCCATCATCGTCCGCAAACTTCCTCCTCGCGTTCGGTGCTCATCGTCGTCCCCTTGTGTCCCACGCCTGTCATCGTGCGCCTCATGAAAACTATCGCCGCGTGCTTCACAAATGGCTATCATCGCGCGCTCCATGAGAAGCTATCGCCGCCTGCACAGGGACACGTTACCTTCTGATGTTGCCAATGGCGATGTCTAGCGTCGTCTGTAGTCCTCTACTCACCCTCTAGCCGTAAGCAATAGTATCTAGCACCGTTCCAGAGCCATGACACTGCTACTCCACGGTTATGGGTGGCAACGACTAGTGCCGTCAGGACCTTATCCCCTCCGCCGTCTCACTCTCTTCCTTTTCGCTCTCTTTCCGCCTCCTCATTCTTTTCTCTCCTTACTTGATTGAGGGTAGACTTAGTCTAGTGCCGCCATATCGATCTCGATTTTGAGCAGTATTGACGCCATGCTCGTCTTGAGAACCATGCCCGTCTTGCTACCACTCTAAGTCGGTAGCTTTCCGATCTTCATGCTAGCCTCACCCCTTTGTCAAGTCTTCTTCTACTTTCTCTCTTTATTGGAGGCCTTCCGTTTCATCACTCCCTCATATGAGCATGCGATGCCCTAAGACAAGGGTGGGTCTCTTCGACTCGCTTGTATCGCCAATTAACCATAGAAGTGTTGTGTAGAAAACAAGAGGATTGCAGGTCAAGGGAGGCGATTCCGAACCAGCTAAAGCAGCTGGGGGGCTTTCTTCTTGATCTAAGAGGGTGCCCATGCGAGCCAGCTCGAGTAAGTCCCTAACCTACCTTAAATTCCTCTCTCATCAGTTGGTATACCTGCCCTTGCTCTTGAGCAAGGTTCTGAGAGAGCGATCTCCAATCCCGGGTTCGTTAAAAACCCGAGATACGTGCCGCCAGATCATCTAGATCCAGAAGGTGAGATCGAGACACCTAACCAGCTTGGCGACTCCACTGGGGACTTACTACCCCTTAGTCGGTTCGCTCTTGTTTGACCAGTATCGTCTTTTACTTTCTGCATTAATTTCTATGGCACCTGGGTTGTTCAACCCGTTCATCCAAGTTGGGGACTTCCTTATCCCCGCACTCGTGACTGTCCCAGGGAAGCGAACTACTCCAGCTTCCTTCCCTACTCTAATTCTGAGTCAGGACTCACGGTCTGGCTCCCACGTTCTTGCCTGGGTTAGCGCGAGAGGGGACTTAAAAGTCCCTGACTCCCCGCTTCCTCGCCCTGATGGACCCCCACGATGGCCCCTTGCATCGGTGGCACGTCTGCCACCGCACACAGCATGCACCCTACTACTGGCAAGTCTCTTGCCGGTCATATTGCTGGGGCACGCCGGAAGGCTGTCCTAACTGCTTTCGCGGGAGGCAAGCAAGTCGTCGTCGCTCCTGAGGTTCGCTGCAAGGCAACCCCCTATACTCTTTCACCTCTCCGAACCTCTAGACTTAGAGGCTCGGCAAATCAAGGCAGAGACCCTGCAGCCTTCTCCTCTTGCACACACCCAAGGGTTCGTGGTCCATCCACTCGAGCCACACTTCTGGGCAAACCCCAAGTTGCCTTGAGCTCGCATCAAGGGCTAGGCCTTCTTGGGCTGAACCCTGAGTGCGCCATGCATTCGCTTTGCATGGCTCGGGGCGACGCCAGCTCTATGCCACTTCGTGCTCCCTCCCAGTACACACGTCCCCACTCTGTGAGAGATGAGCTTCCGCCTTGTCCCTCACAAACATATGCTCGTGGGTCTCGACCTCCGCGCCTGGGTTGACCCCCAAGTCACCCGGACAGCTAACCCTAAAGGTGCACACGCATCGCTTTCACAGGTTCGTCCCCCGTCTAAACTCAAGAGTCATGAACCAGCTACTTCTAGAGTGAGGTTCATAGCCGGTTCAAGGTTAAGCAGAAGAGAGGTCTTCCGATCTTGACCAAAGGAGCCTCCAAGGCAGTTGAGGTCACCACCCTTGATGACCTCCTGCCTCGTAATCCCTTTTTCCCTCTTCAAACTCTAGAACCTGAGCGAATCCAAGAGTATTGCTGGGTTGTCACTGCTCAGAAGCCACGGTCCCAAGACCATCAAGAACCGATCCTCACAAGATCGGCATACAAGGCTCGAATCCAGTCGAGGCAAGCTGAGCCCCTGCAAACTGACTTGCCACCCATGACTTGCCGACCCCGGCAGTCCGCTCCTCCTCCTGGCTCTGACCTCCCAGAAGAGACGGTCAGCGTCATGGTGATCAATGACCCGAACGAAGCCCAAGAAGACAGAATGACCAGATTCGAGGTAATGATGCAATCCATCCTTCAAAAGATGGAACGCCTAGTAGCCTCCAGGTCCACTTCCTATCACCATGAGACCGATTCCCCGATCGACGAGGACACAGCTCCTAGGCAAACTCCCCCACCG